TAGTCCCTTTCTTGCCCTTATAAGGAAGCATATTTTGTTATTGATATATATGTGTATATTTTATTGTTATTTTTTGGGGGGGGGGGGGGGGGTTCTTGAGCAAACAGTAAATAGTGATTGAACGATAATCGTGGCTTGCAAGCACCTTGCAAACCAGAGCCTCCGAAGGAGGATGACTCCTCCCCAGAGTACTTCCTAGTAGTATTCCCTCATAGTCCCTGTAGGATTGAACTATAAAATGTCCAAAGCCCTAAACCCTAAACCCTAAACCCTAAGCCCTAATCATTTAGTCTGCTATGTTCGGCCCGAAGCCCTTTCAACCAGCAGTGTCTTGCCCACGGCAGGTACTGCTCCAACGTGACCTTCGACGCAACCGGCATGATGCAGCCCAGACTGTTTAGGGTTTAGGGTTTAGGGTTTAGGGTTTAGGGTTTATGCAAGACATCGTGCACATCCGATGATCCAGAAGCACTCGACTTGTGGAAGCCGCTACGGTAGCCGCGACCGCCACCGCCTTTCGCCGTGATGTATATATCCGTGAGAAGATTCACTGAAGCCCTAAGCCCTAAACCCGAAACCCGAAACCCTAAACCCCAAACCCCAAACCCTAAACCCTAAACCCTAAACCTGCTGTGCACGATTGCCTCACGCACTACACGGACGAGGAGGTGCGGCAGTTGGAGCAGCTGCATCTTCCAGGCCCTCTCGCTGTGGACACACGCCGCTGACGGCCACGAGGGTTTAGGGTTTAGGGTTTAGGGTTTGATTAAACCCTAAGCCCAAGACTCCCTGAAAACAACATTGTTATGTGTGGGGTATGGATGCTGGCAAGTGGAAAACTTCGTTATGCTTCTGTTAACTTACGCTGTTCTTGAGACATAGTTTGGGTCCATGGGGTTTAAAGGGCCTCAAGCCCTAAACCAGACTGGGGGGGTTCGATGTGCTGGTTTGGGAGCTCCTGGGATTCAGATGACCACAGCATCGCGGATGTAGGGTTCGGGGTTTAGGGTTCTAGGGTTTAGGGTTTAGGGTCTAGGGTTTGGGGTTTAGGATGTAGGGTTTAGGGTTGTAGATGCTTCTGGTGCTTTTGGTTTCTGCTTCGGGCGCTGTAGGACTGAGGGCCTGGGGGGGCTGATCATGGTTGGGTGCTATTTGCTACTACTTGCTTAAGAACCTGTAACAATAGAACAATAGTCCCTTTTTTTCTCTTTTCAGGAAGAATCTTGCATTTTTTTGGTGTGGGGGGGGGACGGGTTCTTCAGCAGGCAGTAGTTTTTGGGGTTGATTTGGAGCTCACATCGCAGTTCATTCGGGCCACCATCCCTCTATGAACCGAGTATAGAGGCAACCAACCGCATGAAACATAAATACATCTGTATATATATATATATATACATTTCTTTTATTTGTTGTTTGTTTGTGTTGACATGTGTCTATGCATAAGGTTTGAGGTGAACTATTTACTCATCACGAACCCCCCTACATCGGCTGAACCGCCCCCCAAGCGCCGAAACCAAGCCCCAGTTTAGTCCAGACAATGGGATGCTCCCCCTGAGGGTTTAGGGTTTAGGGTTTAGGGTTTAGGGTTTAGGGTTTAGGGTTTAGGGTAACAGTCCTTGATCGGGATGGTAGTAGGGGCTACTATAATCCCTACTGTTAGTATTCGGGGGGAACATCCCAATCCACCTAAAACATAGGACCCCTGAGCACTGAATGCCCAGATGCCTAAATCATCCCGGGTCCCTAGGAGGTGTTAGTGTAAGGGGCAACATCCCAGCCTACACCCCCCCAAGTTTCGAGCCCCAATGCTGCTCAGTCGAGGCAGTGGACGGATTACTGCGTGGACGGAGAGACTTGCCAAGTCTTAGCGAGCGGCGAGCGCAGGTTCAAAAGCCCCCGAGACCCGAAAATCTGAGCCCTAAAGACCCTGTAATTGGGTTCTGGAACTTAGAGGGTGCGAAGGCTTTACGGCTTTTGACCTAAACCCTGTAAGCCCCCCCCCATAGTACCCCATTGCTTTAGGGCCTTGGGTTTAGCGTTCACTTCAGGAGCCACATTAATTAATGTCATTAAGCAAGTTAGAGCCCTGAGTCCATTTCTTCGATTGAGACCGGCCCTTCGATGCTTAGGACAGCAACAACTGGATGTGCCCTGTCCACTGCGACACCACGACCTCCAAGAAGCCGCGACTCTCAGAGATCCAGGGCTCCAGTAAACCCTAAACCCTAAACCCTAAACCCTAAACCCTAAACCCTAAACCCTAAACCCTAAACCCTAAACCCTAAACCCTAAACCCTAAACCCTAAACCCTAAACCCTAAACCCTAACTTGGGATGTTCCCCCTTATACTAGCAGTCTACTAACCGTCCGTAATAGGGATATTAGTAGGGGGTACTATGATCCCTATTCAGGACTGTTAGTATAAGGGGGCACATCCCAATCCTGAACCCTTGGAGCTTTATGGGTTAGGGAGAGAGCTAAACCCTAAGCTCTAATGTAGCACCTGCTTCATAGTGTCCCCCCCCGAGCAGTCGAAGCAGGTCGTTGCTTTCTTTCACCGGTGCACGGGTTTAGGGTTTAGGGTTTAGGGCTTGTTTATATGAGTTGATTTTGAAGGCTTGGTGCACGACATGTTCTTACGACACCCAAACGATTTGACTTCATTGCGCCATGGACCCCCAAGCAGTCGCAGGGTCCTGAATAACCTGGCCAACTTGACTTTATTGTTTATGCGCGTCCAACAGTGAACCCTAAACCCGCCTAAACCCTTGGGGTTTAGGGTTTAGGGCTGGGGTTTAGGGTTTAGGGCTGGAGTTTAGGGTTTAGGGTTCAGGGCTGGGGTTAAGGGTTTCGGTTGCAGGCCTTTTTCGGGGTGTGCGCTTCAGAAAGCTCACCACTGACGCTGAAGACACCTCAGAAGCCCAAAGGCCCGAAGCCCTAAACCCTAAACCCTAAGCCCTAAACCCTAAACCCTAAACCCTAAACCCTAAACCCTAAACCCTAGACCCTAGACCCTAGACCCTAGACCCTAAACCCTAAACCCTAAACCCTAGACCCTAGACCCTAAACCCTAAACCCTCAACCCTAAACCCTAAACCCCAACCCCTAAAACCCTAAACCCTAAACCCTAAACCCTAAACCCTAAACCCTAAACCCTAAACCCTAAACCCTAAACCTAAACCCTACTCCCAAACCCGAAACCCCCTGCAACCGAGCCTGGCATTGCTCAGGTGCGGAACGCCCGGCTCGTACGACGAGCATTGCGTGGCGATCTCGGAGTCCTGTCCATTGCGCCTCTGCTTCGTGGGTTTTTTTGCCGGGAGTTTGGGGTTTAGTTTGCTGAGGGTTTGGGGTTTGACGAGCTTTCCTCCCTAGGCCCTAAACGCTAAACCCTAAACCCTAAAGCCGTTCAACAGAAGGGCATCCCTTTGATTCGCTAGTTTTAGGTTGAGCTAGACGGTCAAGGGGCTTGGTTGAACATGAGCTGGGGTCTTGGGTTTAGGGTTTTAGGGTTTAGGGTTTAGGGTTTAATTGTTTAGGGCTTAGGTTCAGGGCTTAGGGTTTAAGGTTTAAGGTTTAAGTTTTAGGGTTTATAGAGCTTCGGGCTACAGGTTTTTCGGGCTGCGCAGTCTGCAGGGTTGAGGGCGAGGTTGCGACTCGACATCGATGTGTTTTGGTTCAGGGTCTGGGGTTCCCGCAAAAAGTGATGAGCTTTACATCTCCAACCCCCTCCCACCCACCCCCAAACAGAAAAAGGCCACCCACCTCTCCACTCCCCCATGCTCTCCCCGACCCCAAACCCCTAGAGCCCTGAACTTCGAAACCCCAGCACGGTCCTCAGCCCCCTATCCCCTATCCCCTAAACCCTAAACCCTAAACCCTACACCCTAAACCCTAAACCTTAAGCCCGAAACTGCAAGAAACCCCAAGATGCCCCCAGACCCCAAAAGACCCCAAGACCCCAGCACTTGATCTTGGACGAGGACTTTCTCCAATGTGCCCCTTAGACTCCTTTGTATTGGCCCCGTTTTCATTTGGTCCTTCCGACAGCCCCAAACCCTAAACCCTAAACCCTAAACCCTAAACCCTAAACCCTAAACCCTAAACCCTCCCCTTCACCTGAAACTGTCCAACATCTGCCAGCCCAGAACCAAAAACCCCCAGACCGCATTAAAGCCCTTTCGGCCCTCGAGGCCCCTTCTACCGACCCCCTTTTGAATCTTTGAACCCTAAGCCCTAAACCCGAAACCCTAAACCCCAAACCCTAAACCCTAAACCCTAAACCCTTGAGGCCTCCTAAACCCTCAAAAGCCTTCAGGAGCTGCACTTCAGAGCAGCAATACTGCTGGGTGGATGCTTGGCCACCAACCAGTCAGGGGGGGGTTTAGGGTTTAGGGGCCCTTTGGCTAGTTTATGTTTTCCCATTTCGGGGAAGGGGGGGAGGGGGGTTCGGCGGTTTGGGGGGAGGGTTTGGGGGGAGGGTTTGGGGGAGGTTTGGGTTCCGGATGATCAACAAGAGGCATTGGAGGTCGTGTTGATGATCATGAGATTTTCATGTGGGTTTCCATATGTCCGAATCGAACGTCCGCAAGCTACGTTCACGGGCTAACGCCCTCGCGAACATTATGCCTCGCCCTTCATGCTGCATGGCTGTTGTGCATCTGGTGTATCTGACTCATCGCATGGTACGCCTGCTACTTGTTGATTTGGCGCAACACCAAAGCAGTCCTGTGTGTTTGCGACACGTGGGGCATCGTCAACTACACAGCCGATTGTAGGCATTGCTACATGGCTGTGGTGTCTACGCTTGCTTCATCTACAGATGCTGTGCCGACACGTGGTTGTGCATGACAACAATGTACAACGAGATGATGAAGTTGCCAGGTGATAAATGTGAGTGCAAATAGCGCATACGCGGCACAAACGCATATCCATTTAGAGGGCGCTCTTGTTCAGTGCGTCGTTTAGCAACAAACGGCCTCAAGCTTAACATTTTCAGCATGATCTCTGTGGAGGTCAGGCAATCTACCGAAACTTTCGACTATGAACCGGCCATCTAGAATCTCTCGGTTCCACAGCGTTTTCAAATTGAGAACCGGGGCTCAGCAGGAGATGGTGTGTGCGTTGTTGAGATAGATTGGGACTTAGGGGTTTTTAAGGGGTTTTTTCAGGTTTTCAGGGGTTTTTAGGGTTTTTAAAGGGCTTTTTTTGGGCGGGTTCTTTAGGTTTTTTTAAGGGGCTTTTTAGGGGTTTTTGGGGTTTTTAAGGGGTTTTTACTTCAGGGGTTTAGGTTTTTAGGGGTTTAGGGCATAGGGTTTCATAGGCCCGTTCGATACTGAATATTTTCCCTAACCTAGCGATGATGCGACATGAACAGGCAGGCCGGTTTGAGGCGTGGACATTTGATTTCTGCGACGTACCAATAGCGCCTGGCCGAAAGCACCCTTGACACGTATTTGAATTTCACACATTTTCAACTTGCAAGGTTCCAACCCTCAACCCGCCTGTCCTCTCAAGGTACATTGAATACATTCACTCAGCTTCCGTAGTAAAACTAGCTGACTAGCTTACAGTCGGATCACGCGCAGGGCTTTGGGTGGAAATTCTCTATACTTGACGCAAGAGCCCCTCCCCGTGCGGCCATGTGCTGCGCCAAATAGCCCCGAAGCCAGACTCATTAGTAACTGTTGTTAACGCCTCCATCCTACTCCCCAACCATGAAGCGAAATTGCGGAACTGCTGAACCCTACTTGGTGGTTCATGGTACTCATGAACCAATTCTACCTCTACTTATAGCCCAAAATACGGTCCTGAACTTCCAAGAAGTCAAAAGAAGCACCAGGATGAGTATGATGCAACTGGCATGTGGCTGTCCAGCTCGGAGACATGCTCCTCGCCACGATTTGCGGTGGATTTGGGGTCCACATGCCAGGTACCCTTAAGCCCCTGCAACCCTAAACCCTAAACCCTTAACCCTTAACCCTTAGACCCTTGAGCCTAACATGGGGAGGTCCAGGGTCAGCCGTGCGGTTTCACTGTTGGGGGGTGTTTTTTCCCCCTAACATGAAGACACCCCTTTCAACATACTGGCCCAGTTTTGAACGTTTAGATTTGGTGGTTTGGGGTTTAGGGTTTGGGTTTAGCGGAGGTTTTGTTCAGTGCAGGTCTTTGCTTCTTTGGGGTATGGGGAAGTAAATGTACAATTCCAGAGGTGGTGAGTTGATTCTCATACAAGTAACTAAGCTTCACGATTGGGAGATGCCACCCACACGCAAAACAAACATGTCAAAAGTTGTCATTATGCCCGCATAGGCATAGTACGCACCATGTTTCAGATCACGACACGGACATTTGTTGCTTTTAGGCTTTGGCATAACCTTCCCCCAGCGTTCCGTGTCAGGCATCGTGGAAGGCTTTGAAATCGTACGCGTGCAACTGTGTCGCACGCACGAACCGCGTGAAGTGCAAAACTGGGTCCGGTGATGACTGTTGTCCAGCATCGTCGTCCTTCTGCGTGACCGCGTAAGGCCACAAGGCGTCTGCCTCATTGACAAATCCCCCCCAATCCTACGCTGATTGCAACATCCAAGAATGAGGTGGTGAGTAGTTACCACAAGTTCAGAAACCCAAACCCGAACCTCTGAACAAAGAAACGTAAGCAGGTACTCCTTGTTTTAAGTGGCTTTGGGGTTTCGGGAACTTCGGATCTCGGGTTTTGGGGAAGCTGTGGCCCAACAATGGCCAGGTGTGGCCGTGGGCCAGGATTGCCCCTGCGGCAGCAACGCCGTGCAATGTGAGGATCCCTTCTTTGGCGGCTACAAGCCTGGTGCCCAGTGTATGCTGAAGGAAGGAGCTAGACCCCTAAAGCCCTAAACCCTAAACCCTAAACCCTAAACCCTAAACCACACTGGCCCTAAACCCCAAACCCTTGTGAGGGTATAGAGATCCTAGACCATGGTGTAGAGGTATAGACCTCTTGTGCGTGCGGGGTTTAGGGGTTGAGGCTTGAGTGTTTAATGAGGGTTTGATAGAGGGTTTGGGGGTTAAGGTTAAGGGTTTCGGATTTAGAGCCTTAGCACCTAGACCTTCTAGCCGCTTTGCCCCGTTACAACGCCAGGGCTGGTCTTGTCTTATGCTGCTCGAAGAAGTGGGGATTGAAGTTCAGCTTCAATGGTAGTTCACACCTATCAACATGAAGGGTTGCCACTTTAGTTGCTTGAAGGTGTCATAGGGGGAGTCATACGCCCTGCTCAGAGTCCTACTTAAGCCCTAAACCTTCAACCCTGAACCCTAACCTTATCAGAACTGACCTTACTCATCACTTTGTCATAGTGCGTAACATTTTTCATGTTTCAGGGTACTTCAACTCAACAAGGAATATAAATCCAAGAATAGTACTATCCCAGCCATGAACTAGATCAGAGCCTTCCTGTAAACCCGAAACCCTACACCCTCTTTCCTAAAGCCTAAACCCTAAACCCTAAACCCTATCAGAGCTGGCCTTACTCATCAGACCCTTCATGTCATCATGTGCCCTTGTTCCGCTGGCATCGAGGTATTGCACAGCAGCTCCTTGGCTGTTTGGATCGTGGGGAGTCGTGGTTTAGGGCTTGCTTTCGGGGTTTAGGGTTTAGGGTTTAGGGTTTAGGGTTTAGGGTTTAGGGTTTAGGGTTTAGGGCTACACCCGAAACCCTAAATCCTGAAACCTGGGCTGAGGGTGCAGGTCTTGGACGGTTGTTGGGCTTGTGGCTCATTGGCATTCGGCTTAGGGTTCAGGAGTTCGAGATAGATTTCCGGGACATTTGCGAGTTGTCGTTTTGAAGGGCTTATGAGCAGAGGGCGTAGAATTGTAGGAGTTCGTTTCGGAGGCTCGAAGTGTCAAGCCTCGACAGGAGCCTCAGTAACAGCCAATATTGAACCCTTACAATGCCTGGATGCCTTTAGGGTTTAGTTTAGGGTTTAGGGTTTAGGGTTTCGGGTTTCGGGTTTAGGGTTTAGGGTTTAGGTTTACGTACCCAAAGTACAAGCTCCCAAACCTCCCTTGAAAGCAAATCGGCCTCTCTGTTGCGTTCCCTAGATTTTTTTTGGCCGTTGTGTGTACCCTCTATATCTAAATAATAATATGTACATATATGTATATATGTCTATCTGTCCCAAAACCTTAAACCCTAAGCGCTAAGCCCTGAACCCTAAACCCCAAACCCTAAACCCTAAACTTTCAAAAACATCTGCGTATTATCATCGGATCCCAGTAAAGGGACCATAGTTTGGAGAACCTCCCTTGTCATGAAAATTCTTGAACCAGTCCCTATAGCGAACTCCGGACTCGAAATCCCATGTTTAGGGTTTAGGGGTTTAGGGTTTAGAGTTTAGAGGGTTTAGAGGGTTGAGAGGGTTTAGAGGGTTTTCAGGGCTTAGAGGGCTTAGAGGGTTTTGAGGGTTTTGAGGGTTTTGAGGGTTTTGAAGGTTTAGGGGATGTCGTTGGGGGTTTAGGGCTTGGGGGTGTATGAGCCTCGAGAGCCCCCCGGTCCCCGCACCCAAAGCTTTCAAACCTGCACCCAAATCCTACACCCTAAACCCTAAACCCTAAACCCCAAACCCCAAACCCCAAACCCTAACCCCGACACCCATTTACAGGAGGAAGGGCTGCCGGGCCCAGCTTTGAAGGCTCATAGATAGTATCGTATCAAGGGGCTAGAGGAGGGACCCCAAAAAAAGGACCTTAGGGGTTATCTGGGGGCTACTTAGGTATATGGGGACTAGGTAAGGTAACCAGCGTAACCAGCGTATAGGGGTTATTAGGAAACAAGATGAAGGGTCCCTTCTAGGTGTCCCTCCTTATACCCCTTACTAGTAGGGTTAGAGCAGGGTGTCTGTGCTTACAGCTACATACAACCCACCACTGAGCCTTCTAGCAAATGGTAGGGGTTTAGGTTTTTGGTTTAGGGTTTAGGGTTTAGGGTTTAGGGCTACATCCCTGGAGCTTCAGGAGTTTTGGGGCTGTCCGCTTTACTGTGACCCCATCACCGAGAAGACCTGCTACCCGGTGGCTTTTACGGAAGACGGACGCTCGGCTTGGGCTGAGTCCGGGCTACTTGGAGGTTCAGGGCACTTAATCACCAACTATAACTGTACCACTTGCCCACTTACGAGCCCCTTAAGTGCCCTAAATGTGGCTATACTGTGGGTTATAGGTACTGTTATAACTAGTTCCTAAGTGCCCTGAACCTCCAAGTGGGCTTAGTCCGGGCTACCGGCCTTGGGATGGGGATACTCCGCCTGAAACTAGCATCTCCTGAATATGGAACGAAGTACCCCCTATGATAATCCCTATGAAGGACTGTTAGTATAGGGGGGGGGGAACATCCCAAGTCTAGGGCATACAGGCTTTAGGCTTTATGAAGTGTTAGGAATTTTGGTGGGGCGTTAGGGTTTCGAGGGCTTTTAGGGCTTGAGGTTCTTTTTTTCTTCCGGTTTTAGGGGGTTGAGCCTTAGGGCCTTAGGGCTTCGAAGGTTTGCGGGTTTAGGGTTTCGGGTTTTTAGGGCTTTGGGCCTGGGAGGTCGGACCTGGGTCAAGAAAACCCCATTGTGCCTAGCATTAAGTCACGGTTAGGGTGCACCCCAAGGCCTGAACCACAGCGATTGTTTTTTTTTGCTGCCCAGCCGTCAGTTTGTGGCGGCCAGCTTGGATCTCAAGATGCCGCTCTCCTTCTCCTCCCCCTGTAAGCCCCAAACCCTCAGACCCTTCAAACCGGTTCAAACCCCTAAACCCTAAACCCCAGGGTTAAGGGTCTAGGGTTTAGGGTTTCCCCGTAAACCCTCTAGGTTAAACTCCAAACCCCAACGCCGCCAAGCCCCAACCTTAGCTGGGCCCGGGTCCAGACCCGGGCTGCTTTTTGTCAATATGTCTTAGCTGATTGGGGCATTGGGGCTTAGGCCTCGAAACCCTTCTTGCTGGAACTCTGAATCCTTAGACCCTGAACCCTGAAAACCCTCACCATTGCTCCTGGGCACTTCATAAGGTTCGGGGTTTATCGCCCTAAATCCTAAACCCTGAACCCTGAACCCTAAAACCCTAAACCCTAAACCCTAAAAACCCTGAACCCTAAAGCCCTAAACCCTAAACCCTGAACCCTAAACCCTAAACCCTAAGCTTTGGAAGCTGGACTGTCTGCATGGCCAAAGGAGTGCAGGATTGGAACGCCCCCATCAAGGAGAGCTGCCAGAACATCACCCAGCCGCCCGGTTCATGAGAGGGCTCTTCAGGGAGGGGGGTTTAGGGTTTAGGGTTTCGGGTTTAGGGTTTAGGGTTTCGGCTTTAGGGTTTAGGGTTTAGGGTTTAGGGTTTAGGGTTCTGTATAAGGGGGGGGTATGACACCCAAGGTCCCCTAATGCTCCCTAGCTTCGGGGGGTTTAGGGTTCAGGGTTCAGGGTACAGGGGGCTGATAGGGTACGCAAACCCTATACCCCTTTATAAACCCGTGAGGAGTTGTAGGATTATGGGATTCGGAAGCCCCTAAACACTTGAGAAGTTTTGCCAGTTGAGGGATCACATCCAAGCCCCGCTTTGCGGCTGTTAGCATGCCAAACCCACAGGAAGCCTCTGGTGTGTTAGGGTTTTGGTGATTAGGGTTTAGCTATCAATCTTGGACTAGAAGCCAAAACCCTACACCCGGAACTCTATAAACCCTAAACCCTAAACCCTAAACCCTGAACCCCCTAAAGTACGGTGCATCCGCCGAGGCCCTGCGGCTGCGGCGCGAATGCCAAGATGTGCCGTTGGACCGCCATAGCCTCAGGTTCCGGAGTACTATACCTTAGGGTTTGGGTTTGGGGTTTGGGGTTCCTGGGGTTTGGGGTTTAGGGTTTAGGGTTCCTACTATTTGCTTAAGAACCCCCAAAGAATAAACGGCAATAATCCCTATGTTACCCTTACAGGAAGTTTTTTTTAGTTGTTGGGGGGTTTCTTAAGCAAATAGCAGGTTCGTGTCGGGCTCAGCGCTTGATGAGGGTCGAGGGTTTAGGGGCTTAGGGTTTAGGGTTTTCATGGTTTTGGATTGTGCTGATTTCAATTTCCTCTCTCGATGCCACCATCTGCTTGCATCCCAAGAGACGTGAAACGCATACAGAGTTTCATCACACGAATTGCCGAGCAAGGCACACTTCACATTCATGCTGGTCGGGTTGCACAGCGACGATATCAGCACGACGTACCATGCACATCTTGCCCGTTAAGGATGTTGAACATATCGACGTGGCAGGTACACATGGCTGATCAAAGCTCTTGAGGGTTGTCCCGAAGCCCCCAAACCGCTCTTGTTCCCCTAAGCCCCAAACCATAAGCCCAAAACCCTTCCACCCTACATTCTAAGCCCCAAACCGCTCTTGTTCCCCTAAGCCCCAAACCCCACACCCGAGCCCCACGACGCTACCCCGAAACCCTAACCCTACAACCCCAAACCCCAAACCCCAAACCCCAAACCCTAAACCCTAAACCCTAAACTACCCTAAACAACACAGCCGGCCCAGGATGAGTGGGGGTGGCAGCCCCAGCTTTGGAGTTTGAGTAGGGGCCCTTTATGCTTTAGAGGGGTAAACCTTAAGGTTTAGGGTTTAGGGTTTAGGGTTTAGGACTAGGACCCAGAGCAGGCCCCTATGCCCTGTTGTTAGTCCTTTTAGGCCAAAAAGGATGCCCTCTTTATTCCTCGGTTGCTCTTGGGTCTGCGTTTTGCTTGTCTTAGCATTTATACTTGCTCTTGCTGTAGATTGTTATTGTCTTGCTGAGTTCTTCTCATGGTCATTTTCAAACACATGCATGAACACAGGCTGTGGCGGGCTTAAGGGTTTCATGTTCCAAAAAAAACAGACCGAGGGCTGACGCTCAAGTTTGGGGAGGGCGTCTTTTCTTTAAGGTGTTGGGGGGAAGGTTCGTGGGGGTTGTCCAGCTCAGGGCCTACGGCTTAGAGCTCCGGGTTCAGCAGGCTGGCCTTTGGACTCTTTTGGACTGTTCGCCCCAGAGGAGTGACGCGAAACGCAGAGCCTCTGCCCCAAGGTCGGAGATGCTGGAATCGGCTGGGTTTTGTGAAGGAACAGAAGTCAATCTGCCATATTGTGAGGAAGCCAGGGTGTGTCCCACATATATATATATATATATATATTAGCAATAGCTCAGACCAAGTTCCCTCATCGACCTCCCAGGGCCCAAGAGACTCGAAACCCAGGTCAAGATTGGAATCTCCCTGACCATAAGACACCCAACACAAACCTACAACAGGGCTCATTTTCTGAAATTGGTGAGTGTCTATAGCATAAATGTTGGTGAGAGTATACACTAGTGGGTGTCCTTGTGGTATGCTGGCAATGACAACCCTACTGCGCATAGAGGGGTGCGGCCCCGCAATGGGCTTCTAAGTGGTATAGCTTGGGGCAGAAGTCCTTAAACTGCAGACGGTTAGCCCCTGTACTCTCTTGCAGGGTTCATATCACCTTCAAGGATTCTTGGGTAGCCTCTGTAGGTTTCGGGGCCTTCAGGAACGCCCTGAGGTACGAAAACGAGATCTGCTACCCCACTTCTGTGGCTTGTCCGGTCACGTGCAAAGAAGACGAGCAGCGCTGCTACATCACCGCACCTCGGCACGAGACAGTTCGGGGTCTAGGGCGTAGGGTTTAGGGTTTAGGGTTTAGGGTTTAGGGTTTAGGGTTTAGGGTTTAGGGGGCTCGCCAGACCACAGCGGCCTCTTTCTGTAGGCTCTCAAGTCAAACCTTTCTACTTAGTAGCTGAGTGAGCAAACTTTACACTTTTTGTTCTACAATAATTAATCCTCTACAGAACTGAAAGTGTACAATTTTTGGGGGGCTCATGAACTCAGCAACCAAGGATAAGATTCTTGGGGGTTGGGGGGTTGTTTGGGTACAGGGCTTAAGCGTGAGCTGTCGGGGGGGCCGCATTGCCTCAGCCCGACGCTCGAATCAACCTGGGATATTCCCCTGTGCTTTGGCACCTGGGCCTTTGCATATTTCCCCTTCATGTCGAGGAAATATTGTCAGAGTCTTTCAGAAGCCAACGTTAGGGTTTAGGGCTTAGGGTTCATAGGGTTTTAGGGTTTAGTTTTTGGGGATTTCGTGTCTAGGGAATGTCAGTAAGGCCAGCGGCATGTCAAGAAGGCTTAGTCTTTAGGGGAGGCTACTTCAGGATAGTGAAGCGTAAGAAGGCGTACATGAGGGGGGGGGACAGACACCCCTTGGGGGCGTCGTAGCAAAAACCCTGCAAACCCAAATTCCTAAACCCGGAACCCTAAACCCTAAACCCTAAACCCTAAACCCTAAACCCTAAACCCTAAACCCTAAACCACCCTAAACCCTAAACCCTAAACCCTAGGAGAGGAGACACAGACTCAGGATTACGAGGCCAACGGTGCCCCTGGCGTGTACCGGGAGACTTGCGTCAAGGCGGACCAGGCTGGGCTGAGGTTTGGGGTCTGGGCTCGGGTTTAGGGTTTTGGGTTAGGGCTCAGGACCCCTGATCCCCCGACTACAAACCCCCTGAAAAGAGAAAGAGCCAGCAAAAGACCTAGAACCTGACATAGTCCTGTATTTTGGTAGGCTGCCCATAGGAGTCTTTCTTGAGGGGGGGGGTGGGGGGGGGTGGCTCGGTTTCGGGGTGCCATCCCAAGGCCCTGCTTAAGCATCTGGGCTTGGAGGAGGGTAGGGCTCAGGCTCAACGGGCTTTGGTTTACTAAGTCCTGAGCCCTACAGCCTGAACAGCTCAGAAAAATCCAAAACAGGCTAAACCACCATGAACCAGGTTTGCCCGTGCGGCTCTCACTCGCAGCAGTGCCACGACCCCTACTGGGCGTCTTGGCTGAAGGGGCCTGCTTGCTTTTCAAGCATACGAAGGCTTATTTATACGGGTAGATATACGTGGTTGTAGGTTCACAATTGGCGCAGTTCGGGCTTGTAATTTGAGGGTAGTTAGGTTTATGCTTCCAGTAGATTTGTTTTTAAAGGGGGGGGGGGGGCTGGTTAGGCTTACAATGTGAAGCTTGACTAGGCTCACGCATCTGTCTACCCCAACTTATGAGCCCGCGTGCTGCTGCCGATGAGGCTCAAGTAGTTCCATGGCATCCTAAACCTAGGCCCTGAACCTTAAATCTACACACCCGAAAGTTCTAAAAACACATCTCCGCTGAAGAGCCCTGCAGAAGTCAGCGGTAGATGCGCTGGTTTCCTAGAGCTGGCTTGCTTGACATGCCGGAACTTACTTGAGCGTCCGGACGCGATGTGTTTGGTGATGTTGGGCGAAGTGTAGGGGTTAGGGTTTGGGGTTTGGGGTTTGGGGTTTGGGGTTTAGGGAACGGCGCATCCGTCGTGTTTTCTGTCCAGCAGCTTAGGGTTTAGGTTTAGGGCTGAGGACTACCACTACTGCTACCCGCTTGTGGACTGGTGGTCCAACAGCTTCCTTGCCGCACTGGGTCCTCGAAGCCTTATCCAACCCTAAACCCTAAACCCTAAACCCTAAACCCTAAACCCTGAACCTCTTTAAACCCCTAGGATGCCCTCAGGAGGCCCCGATGAGGGCTTTTGGAGGGTCTTTGGTTCTCTCATCCCACCTTGTATATATACACGTACATATGTACATATATATATGTATGTCTATGGATACATATATACTTGTTTTTTTCAACTATTCTAATCACCTTAAAGACTGAACCCGAAGCGGGGGGCGGGTGGGGGTTTAGCGATCGTTTTGGTAGTTTCATTTTTTTTTTTGGGGGGGGGGGGACTTAGGGGGATTTGACGTGAGGGAAGCCTCCAGCCAACGGATCACTGAAGCTCGTCGAAGAAGCTAGCACCCGGAGGTCTTCCAATGCATGATACCCTAAACCCCAAACTTAAACCCTTGAGGAACCCTTAACACTTTCTGAACCCTTAACCCTAAACCCTTAATCCCCCCCCAAGTCCTACTGGTGTCCCACGACTCCGAGGCACCATGCGCTGCCCCGTGTACTGCACTGAGGATGAGGACTACTGCTACAGCCCCAGCCGCTCGGCACGCCGTGGCTTCTTTCTTTAGGGAGGGGGGGGGGGGGGGGGGTGGCGAAGCATACAGTGGGGTCATGGGTTTAGGGTTTAGGGTTTTTCGAGGGTATAAACCTTGAACTTGAGGTCTACAGGCTTTCTTGGGTTCGGGCTTAGTAATTGAATCATCCAAAGATGCTTTTGAAGTTTTCAATGTACGGGGGCTGCCTTCGACGTGCTTAATACCGAACGTCAAAGCTCAAGCATTATCCAGATCGCCGCCCTTCACGGGAATCACTCCAGGCTTCGGCCTCTCTCGGTTATTGCTCGGGGTATTACCCTAAACCCTAAACCCTAAACCCTAAACCCTAAACCCTAAACCCTAAACCCTAAACCCTAAACCCTAAACCCTAAACCCTAAACCCTAATTTTTCTTCTGCGCAGATGCACGGAGCTGCAGGTCCCTAACTTCTCTTGCTTGGTCTCACGGCCGTTGAATTGCACAGTCTAGCCTTTAGCTAATCTTGCTCATGCTGATTGGAAAAAACCCTGAACCCTAGACCCTTACATATCAGGCGGTTTCCGAAATTAGGGGTACCTTATTGGGGCCCTCATTATAAGGGAATCCTACTATTTGGGATCTATACTTGGGGACCCCATTTTCGTAACCCCCCTTTAAGGTTTGGGGGGGCTGTTGCCGGTGCCCTTTGCACGACCCCCAAGGCTACAACGCGAATGGCGAGTGGCTGAGCACCGTGGAGACCTGCGCGTCCTGCCTTCCAGAGGAAGCTGTCCGGTTCAGGGTTCTGCTGTTTTGTTTAAGACCCACCCCAACAGAAGATATTCTTCCTTATATAAGGGTGAAAATTTACTTCTAGGGGTGATTATCTTTCTTTGTTTTTTTTTGGGGTGGGGGGGGGGTTCTTGAGCAAATGGCAGGGTTCAGGGTTCGACCCTTTGGCTTTGTAAGGTTTAGGGTTCAGGGTTGACGTTGAAGGGTTCAGGGCTCAGGGTGGATTGCTGAAGCTCTTGCGGAGTTTGTTCCTGTTTCTCTTCAGCCATGAGATGATCCAATCCAAACATCTCAGACCCCAGGCCCGCAACAGGACTAAGCCCTAAACCCTGCACCCTAAACTTTCTGCTCTCTTCCCCCCTAAACCCTAAACTGCCCTAAGCCCTAAAGCCCTAGACAGCCCGAAACCCTAAAAACCCGAAGCCCTAAACCCTAAACCCTAAACCCTAAACCCGAAGCCCTAAGCCCCTGCAGAGTTTGCTTAAGCCTGGAGGGCTGATGGGATGAAGGGACCTTGGGTGGCCAAGGCTTATCCACTACTTTCTCCAGAACCCCCCCAAAAAAAAGAGACAACAGCAAAAAACACAGTAGAAAATGATCAATATAAATATATGTCTACATATATATATATATATATGCATATATATTTATTTATACACGATAATAAGTCTGGAGCACAAACCAGGTACCAAAGGGGACAAAGTGCAAGTGCACTGGCCAGAATTCCTTCTCATGTGACTTCAACGCGCCTCGGCTTATATGTTTTTCGCATGGCAAACCCTAAACCCCAAATTGTAAACCGTGCGTTTGTTGCTGCTTACCATTGGCTTCGGAATGTTCAGTTGTTTTCGGCTTTTATGGTTGGTTTCGGGCTACAGGAAATCGGGCTTCGGACAAGGAAGTTCGCAGACTTTCGATGGGCCAGCGGGAGGGTCTGAATTCCCTAAGGTTTGAAGCCCTAAACCCTAACCCTTTTTCGGCTCCATCCACAGTTCGGGGTTAGGGGTTTTTAGTTTAGGGGCGTGGTGAGGCCCTTGAGCTTTTTCGTCTTTGGGCTGGGGGGAGGCGGGAGGAATGTTGCAGGTTTTGGCTGGACTTAGAGCATCAGACAGACAGACCCCTAAGCCCTAAACCCTAAACCCTAAACCCTAAGCCCTAAGCCCTAAACCCTAAAGGAGTGGGGGTACAGCTGGACGGAATGCCTTCCAATCGAAGGAGGCGGGGGCATCTGTTTGGGCCTGGTGGGGTGCGGGGATTGGGGAGCTTTCAGCCCAAAGCTCTAAGGGTTTAGGGTTTAGGGTTAAGGGTTTAGGGTTTGGGGTTTAGGGCCTGAAGCTTGAAGCCCAGAGCAAGTTTTGTTCATGGCTTAGGGGAGGACCCACTCGAAGGTTCATGAGTACTGTAAGTCGGGGGTTGTGAGTAGGGTGGCCGTACTTGCAGCCCTGGCTTAAGGTGTAGGGGAGCCTGCTTGAAATCACCACCGGTGAATATTGAAGTATCAAACTTGTAAGGTGGTATCCGTCAGGTTTGGAGTTTTCTCTGGATCTCTCTCTGAACTCAAGACCTTACCAAGCTTAACCACCAGTCCTATCGTCTCCTTTTTCATGTTTCAGCATGAGTGCACATACGTATGTATGTATGTATGTATGTATGTATGTATGTATGTATGTATGTATGTATGTATGCATATATATATATATGTATGCATATGTGAATTTTGTATAACGTTCTGTCCATCCTTATTGGTTGAAGGGCTTTTCTGCATGCATGCATGCATGCATGCATGCATGCATGCATGCATGCATGCATGTATGTGTCTATTCGTTTGCTCCTGTTGCTCGGCATTGGCATGTTCAGCATGGGACACCGGGAAACCCTGAGCCCTAAACCGCCTAAACCCTAAATCTCAACTTCGGGGGCCTAGAGTTCTCACTGGGTTTAAGCCCTAAACCCTAAACCCTAAACCCTAAACCCTAAACCCTAAACCCTAAACCCTAAACCCTAAACCCTAAACCCTAAACCCTAAACCCTAAACCCTAAACCCTAAACCCTAAACCCTTGGGGGTCTTGGGATGCTTTCGTTCTGCCAGGGACTTGAGGTGGGTTGTTTTGTTGCAGAGGCCTCTCCCTCATTAAAGCCTTCGCTCTGGTACCCTACCTTTGGAACGACTCCTGTCCTACAACTGCCCCGAAGTCCCTAAGTTATGCCTTTAGGGGTTGGGGTTTAGAAGTTTAGGGTTTAGGGTTTAAGCCCGAAACCCCAATTCTTCGCAGGCTACTGCCCACCCACGTGCGCCGATGGTGAGGCGGGGGCCGCAGACAGATTTTTTTTGTTTGCACGGGACGGGTTTCAGGGTGTTGGGTTGAGGGCTTAGGGTTGAGGGTTGGTGCGAACTTCTGAAGGTTGGTGGATATAGGGTTGATTCATCATTTCTTCACGCTTCAGTGCTTAAGCATTCGGAACCCACCCCGCATACACCTGGAACGCTGCCTCGGGGCGTTGTCCGCGAGGCGGCGCCCGAAGTTGGGGGCGATGTTTTCGCTGAGGGGAGGGGGCTTAGGGTCGGGGCTGGGGATTATAGTTCTTAGGCTATGATTATAGGGGTTAGATCCAGTTGTGGGAGGTCCCTGCCCCAAACGCCTGAACCCCCCCCCCCCCCCCCCCCCCCTCCCCAAAACCCTCAAAAGCTCATAGAGGCTCAACCCACATAAGGTTTAAGGATATCAGAGCATCGCATCAGACTCCGGAGTCGCACCTTGCTGCTTAGTGTTCTGACTTTACAGGAGAGCTTGGCTCCTGAGGTCAGCTGTCGACGACGATCCCACACATGCTGAGCCCCCCCCCCCCCCCCCCCCCAACAAAGACTATGCCCGAAACCCTACACCCCTGACCAACAAAAAACCCCCCAAATCCTAGGGCCCCTAAGCCCCTAAGCTTCTAAGCCCCTATGCCCCTAAGCCCTAACCTTAAACCCTAAACCCTAGTATCAGCACCTGCCACCCATAAAAGGCCCTCACAGCCTTGAGGGAGTCCCGAGGTCAGCTGCCCCATTGTGGACGACTACAAGCCCGACGGCTCCTGGTTGGGCTGGGCCGACCCATCCACGTGGGGCTTGGGGTTTGGTTTGGGGGCTTGGGGGCTTGGGGGTTTGGGGGTTTGGGGGTTTGGGGGTTTGGGGGTTTGGGGGTTTGGGGGGTTTGGGGTTTCTGGGTTTTTTTGGGTGCAAAACTTTTGTACTTTTTGGTTTTGGGCTCCTATTCTAGCTACTTATACCTAGAAAGCATATACTTTTTTCCAGGGTCTACTCCAAATTAGGGGTTCAGGGTTTGGGGCTTAGGATTTGGGGTTCTCGAGTCGAGGGCTTAAGGTTTAGGATTTAGGGTTTGGGTTTTCGTGGGCCCTTGGGACGGTGCGTATGCTCCCTTGATGGGTCCAAGAGTGGTACACGTGGGAATATTGTTTCAGATGGTTCAAAGGGCCACGACAAGTTAGGGTTTAAGGAATGACGTGTTTGAGTTGGGATGTTCCCCCTTACACTAACAGCCCTTAATAGGGATTCTTGTAGGGGGCACTAACATTAACTGTAAAGGACTGCTAGTATAAGGAGGAACTTCCCAATGTTTCAGGTTAAAGGTCCATGGCTTTGGGAACCCCAACGGGATCGAGGCTCATTTCGAACTTGGCACACACTAAGGTTGGCCACGAATCGCCTGAACTCTCAGTCCCCTTAGCCCCGCCCAAGAGCCCCCCCCCCCCCCCCCCTCTGCCCTCCCCCCCCCCCCTCCCCCCCTCCCCCAACCCGACCCAAAAGCCTCTCAGAGTTAAAGTACCTAAACTCCCCCCCCCCCCCCCCCCCGAAACACCCCCCCGCCCAACCTAGACCTAAGCCCCCACCCAAAAACCTCTCAGAGTTCAGCCCTAAACCCTAAACCCTAAACCCTAAACCCTAAACCCTAAACCCCTAAACAGGAAGTGCGCCGCCAACTGGGACAGCTGCCCCTGCGGGACGGAGGCCAAGTCCTGCCCCGGCGCCACCGCCATGCGCTGCATCTTCAAGGTCTCCCAGGGTGTAGGGTTTAGGGTTTAGGGTTTGGGGTTTAGGGTTTAGGGTTTGGGGTTTAGGGTTTAGGGTTTAGGGTTTGGGGTTTAGGGTTTAGGGTTTGGGTCTTCAAGGTCTCCCAACCTCCCTCCCCCACCCCTTTCTCTTTTTGGGGTTTGGGGTGTAGGGTTTAGGGTGTAGGGTTTAGGGCCTCCTCCCCCCCCCCCCCCTTTCTCTTCTTGGGGTTTAGGGTGTAGGGTTTAGGGTTTGGGGTTTGGGGTTTGGGGTTTGGGGTTTGGGGTTTTGGGTTTGGGGTTTAGGGTTTGGGGTTGTGGGTTTGGTGTTTAGGGGTGTTTCGGATTTGGGGTTTACTTTGCGCGGCTTAGGGTGTTTAGGGCGGCGGTTGAGGCGGTTGGGGCGGTTTAGCGGGTTTAGGGCGTTTGGGGCTTATGGCTAGGATGCCCAGTAGTGCCCTTATTCCCTTTTGGGGGGCTTTAGGTTCCCTTGTAAACCCCTCTAAGCAAAAAAGGGGCACCCTTTTCCATCCCAGGTTACTGGGCAACCCAGATGGGGTTTGTATAGGGAGTCCAAGGAGATCAGGGTTTGGGTTCCATGCGCGGCTCTATTCTTTGTGGTACTTTACTGTAACTTTAGATCCTTACCTTTTTTGGGTTTATTGGGTTTCTTATTAAGGCAGCTAGAAGTTTCATTTAGATCCTTACCTTTTTTGGGTTTCTTGGGTTTCTTATTAAGGCAGCTAGAAGTTTCATTTATAGCTACCCTCCTGAGTGCAGGCAAGTATTTAGGCCTCTCATGTTCCAAGCTGCTGCTCTTGCCTTTGCCTTCGGCGGCCTTCACAAAAAAAGGGGGGAGGTGAATTGAGGCATCAAGGTTGAGTAACAAGGGGTTTACCCTAAACCCTCAACCCTCAACCCCCAACCCCTAACCCCCGAAACCTGAACGTTCTGTTGCTGTGGCTCCCTTCCAGCCAACCAGTGGGTGGAAGAGCCTTCTGGTTTTCAAGGGTTAGGGCCTAGGTTTTTTGGGGTTTGCCCATTGTTTTTACAGAAAGCTGTGGCCCGGGTTTGGCGGAGTCTTCTTGTGAAGGTGCGGCCGCTGCGTCGTGTATCACAGGCTTCGGGCGCACGGGCTAGAACCGTAGCAGTTTTGGACAAAGGAAAGGCGAAGCCGAAGGCGGCGCCAAAGGAAAGGCGACTTCGAAGAAGGCGCCAGTCGCCAAAGGAAGGGCGAGGCCGAAGAAGGTGCCATAGGGGTACCTGGTTCCCTCAATCCCTACCAAGAACCAGTAAGATTTTGATCTGGACAACCTAAACGCCAGACCCAAAACACCCTAGACAAAGACCCTAAACCCTACCGAAATGAAGAAGGACGAGGAGTGCCCCGTGGTTTGCACGGGGAAGCAGAAGAAGTGCTGGATCACGGACCCTTGGCTTCAATCCGGGGGCAGGGTTTAGGGTTTGGGGTTTAGGGCTTAGGGTTTTTCGCTACGGTTTAAAGATTTAGTAGGGGTTTCGAGCTTCTAAAGCAAGGACTTCACTCAGACGGAGGAGTACATCAGCGACCGCGAGATCTGCGTGGCCGAGGACCCCCTAAAGCCTAAATCCTACCTGGAGCTTCGTTAACCCATGATTTTGAGGGTTGTGCCCAATATGTACAGGGTTAGAACCAATTCTTTTGTAAGGTTTGTGTGAATATTCCTGAGAAAGGGAGCTGGGGGGGAGCGCACGGGCTCCACCCCAGCGTTATGATTCTAAACCCTAAACCCTAAACCCTAAACCCTAAACCCTAAACCCTAAACCCTAAACCCTAAACCCTAAACCCTAAACCCTAAACCCTAAACCCTAAACCCTAAACCCTAAGGTTTGGGGATTCAGTGTTCTGGGGTTTGGCGTGTCGGGTTTGCATCGTCCAAGGCCGGGAGTCCACAGGGTGTGAGGTCGAGCCCCTCCCTGCAAAACCTTACTAGGGGGTTTAGGGTTTAGGGTTTAGGGTTTAGGGTTTAGGGTTTAGGGTTTAGGGTTTAGGGTTTAGGGTTTAGGGTTTAGGGTTTAGGGTTTAGGGTTTAGGGTTTAGGGTTTATAGAAATTGTATAGGGTTTGGGTCCCAATAACGTTTTGAACGAAACGTTTTGAACGAAACGTTTTGTTTTTTGGAACTCATTTTTAATTTTTGGGAGGGGGGGCAGGGGAGGGCTGGAGGGGGGGGGGGAAGGGAAGGGGGGGAGGAGCCAATTTTGGGCTCCGCAACCAAAGTTGGCTTGGGGAGCAATTTCGGCTTTGGGGGCCAATTTTGGGCTATGGAACCAATTTTGGGCTTTAGGGGCCAATTTTGGGCTCTGGGAGCCAGTTTTGGGCTACGGAAGCCAATTTTTTTGCTTGGGAGGCAATTTTATAGGCTTTGGAGACAACTTTGGGCTTTGCGGGGCTAATTTTGGGCTTTGGAGTCAATTTTGGGCTCTGGGAGGCCATTTTGGGGGCAAATTTTTGCAATTTTGGGCTGAGCCAATTTTGGGCTCCCGGACCCAATTTGGGCTCCGAAGCCCCAAATTTTTGGGCTTTGAGGGCCAATTTTGGGCTTTGGGAAGCCCAATTTTTGGCTTTGGGAAGCGATTTGGGGTTTGGGAGCAATTTTCGGCTTTGGGAAAGCACTTTGCCATTTTTGGGCTTTGGAAGCAAATTTTGAGCGCTTGCCAGGAGCCAATTTGGGCTTTGGGAGGGTTTTGGAGGGGTTTTGGGGGTGTTTTGGGGGGGTTTTGGGGGGGTTTTGGGGGTTTTGGGGGGGTTTTGGGGGGGGGGTTTTGGGGGGGGGTTGGGGGGGTTGTGGGGGGGGTTGGGGAAGGGTTTGGGGGGTTTTGGGGGGTTTTTGGGGGGTTTTGGTTTTTGGGTTTTTTTTTTGTGGGGGGTTTGGGGGGGGGGGTTTGGATGGGTTTTGGGGGGGATTTTGGATGGGTTTTGGATGGGATGGGTTTGGGGGGGTTTTGAGGGGGGTTTGGGGGGGTGGGTTTTGGGGGAGTTTTTGGGGGTTTTGGGGGTTTGGGGTGGTTTTGGGGGGTTTTGGGGGTTTTGGGAGGGGTTTTGGGGGGGTTTTGGGGGGTTTTGGGGGGTTTTGGGGGGTTTTGGGCGGGTGGTTTGGGAGGGGGGGGGTTTGGGTGGGGTGGTTTGGGTGTTGGGGGGTTTGTGGGAGGGGCCAGGGCCTCACACGGTCTAATTTGGGACCTCTCGTTGGAGGGTCGAGTTTCGGGCCTCATTTGTGGGCTTGACGTGTAGCCTAAGTTGGCCCCAGAGGTTTAAGTAAATTGAGCGTTTGGTCTCCCAGGCGCTTTGGATTAATTTACTTAAACTCTGTATGTCAGCTGTTTAGACAAATATCTTGAACATTCAGAATGATACCACATACAATTTCTATTTATTTTGTCTTGAGGGTTTAGGGTTTAGGGTTTAGGGTTTAGGGTTTAGGGTTTAGGGTTTAGGGCAAACTCGGAACCAAAAAACCCTGAACCCTGTGCGCGTAGACCCGAAGCCCTAGAACCTTGGTGCTGCTTGCCCCTAAACCCAATACCCCTAAACCCCAAGCCCCAAGCCCCAAACCCTAAGCACTAAGCACTAAACCCTAAACCCTAGACCCTAGACCCTAGACCCTAAACCCTCAACCATCGGCAGGATGAGACGTGCCCTTGTGGGCAGAACACCCAGCGATGCCCTGGTTCGGACACCTGCCTCCTGCCCTCGGAGGCTCCCACTTGTGGGTTCAGATTTAGGGTTTAGGGTTTAGGGTTTAGGGTTAGGGTTTAGGGTTTAGGGTTTAGGGTTTAGGGTTTAGGGTTTAGGGTTTAGGGTTTAGGGTTTAGGGTTTAGGGTTTAGGGTTTAGGGTAAGCTGCACCAAGGTTGTATAGTTTCGGGCTTCGGGGTTCCCAGTTCCCAGACTCAGGATTCGAGTCGTTACAGGGCCCTCTTTTTGGAAGGAAGTGCTGTGCTTGAACGAAATATGTTGGGCTGAGGGTTTCAGCACTTGAAGGTTCACCGGCTGAATAGGTAAGCCAGAGACTCCTAAACCGCCCACTCACCCCCCTCGCGAAAAAACACAGTAAACGAGAAAACGAAAAACCTAAGTAGCCAAGACATAAAGACCAAACAGAGCTCAAACCCAATCAGCACGAACAAGCAGCAAACACAGAAGCGGGCTCCTACGCCAAGAGCCACCGGAGGCCAGTTTGGTGTGCCCTTGCGACGCCTCCGAGAAGCAGTGCAACGTCGTGGACTATACCTCCTCGGGGAAGCAGAGCAACTTGTTGTTTTTTGGGTTTAGGGGTTTAGGGGTTTACGGGTTTAGGGTTTTAGGGGTTTCGGGGTTTAGGGGTTTAGGGGTTTAGGGGTTTAGGGTTTAGGGGTTTAGGGGTTTAGGGGTTTAGGGGTTTAGGGGTTTAGGGGTTTAGGGGTTTAGGGGTTTAGGGGTTTAGGGGTTTAGGGGTTTAGGTCTACAAGGTGGGCCCGTGGACAGCGCTCCTTGGGTTTGACAGGAGAAGTGCGAGACATGCGCTGTGAGCGGGGGCCTCGCAGGAGCCGATTGATTAGGGTTTAGGATTTAGGGTTTAGGGTTTAGGGCTTAGGGTTTAGGACTCTAACACTTTAAGAGCCAACCTGGTGGGGGGGGGTTGGGCTTAGTTTCTCCATGTCTATTTGCTGTTTCTTCTTTGTTGTTATCATTCTTTTGTCGCAGCATTACTACAACCGTTATGTCTTGCTGTGAATACACTTGCTTTCCTTGCGATGTGTTACCGTTATTTCTTGCTGTTGATATACTTGTTTTTCTTGCCATGTTTACTACGATCATCACTATTGCTAGTAGTACTGCTACTGTTGCTGCTTCTATTCTGCCGTGTTGTGATTCCACTACTGTTCTTACGATCACAATTGTATTTCTATTAATTATTATCGCTATGATTACTATTACTTTTACTATTGCGAGTACAATCAACATTTCCGTTACCATTGCCGTTACCATCACCATGATCATTGCCATTTCCATTACTATTACTTTCACTTTGGTGTTGCTACATGGTTAAAACTTATACTATTAATATTATCATGACTGCAGATACTGTTGCTCCTCGTACTACTTCTCTTACTGTTATTACCATGAGTGCTATTCTCACTACCAAAATGTTATTAGAACTATTACTTGCATCATTACTGCTTTTCGTGTTTAACGAGCATTTCCATGATTGCATGGCTACCCATGAGTATTGCGATTACTTTCACGAAGAGCCAGTAAGGCAACATCAGCGTCCAGTGCATCAACAAGGGCGCCAAGTGCCCCTGCGGCTCAAACTCCCTGACGTGCCCGGATCCCAACGACGCGGAGGAGAACATCTGCCGGCCCAAGTACAGTGGCACCGTTCTCAACAGCTGCCCAAAGGCCTGCACGCCGGAACAGGAGACCGCTGGCAACAGGACCTGTATCCAGACGCACCTCACAGGTGAGGGCGCATTCCGCTCCGAGAGCATCAGCTGCGTGAAGCCAACAAACTGCATCGCTGGAGACTCGGATTTTCCCGGTTAGTGGCGGCCTCTTTTCTTCTTTTGGAATACCGTTCGGTTACCCCTCTAATCCCCCCCCTTGAAGTTACCCCTTCTTTTGCTCTACTACTGGGAACCGAGGAGAGAACATGCAGAAGTGCCCCTCGGGCACCCACATCCCTGCCTGGAAGCAGTGCAAGGACCCCCCGCCTTGAAAGACTCGAGATGCCTTAAAACCCTACCACCCTAAACCCTAAACCCTAAACCCTAAACCCTAAACCCCAAACCCCAAACCCCAAACCCCCAAACCCCCCAACCCTAACTGGACCCCCACACCCAGACTTCAGCCCCCAAGAAGAGGACCTCTAAACCCTGAACCCTAAGCCCTAAACCCTAAACCCTAAACCCTAAACCCTAAACCCTAAAGAGGACCTCTACGGCACCGGCGGAAGCAACGCCTCCGCCATTGGCAGCGGCCAGAAGCTCGGCTGGCCCTTGGAGAGACGTTGACTTTTCCTTTCCTTAGTAGGGTTTAGGGTTTAGGGTGTTTAAGGGTTTAGGGTTTAGGGTTTAGGGGTTCACTTTGGTAGCTGAATGAGTACACTTTAGACTTTTTGGGGATTTCTATAATCCCCTGTAGAACTGAAAGTGTACACTTTTCGGGGGCTTATGAACTCAGCAACTAAGTTTCAGTGGATTCTTAAGAGGATCTTAGGCTATAGGATGTACGAGCCCTATAGAGCCTTGAGCAAGCCCTAAACCCCCAAAACCCTAAGCCCTAAACCCCCAAACCCGAAGCCCCAAACCCCAAACCCCCAAAACCCGAAGCCCTCCATCCCTAGGAAGCAGACCTCCAAAGTTACCCTAAACCCTAAACCCTAAACCCTAAACCCTAAACCCTAAACCCTAAACCCTAAACCCTAAACCCTAAACCCTAAACCCTAAAAACCCTAAACCCTAAACAAACCCTAAACCCTAAACCCTAAACCTACAACCCCCCCCCCCCCCCCCCACCAGGAAGCAGACAGTCCAAGTGATCTTGGTGCTGGATTCGGTGGCGGAGGGAGCAATTTGGGCATGGTCGAAGACGCGCGAGTGGTCGTGAACGGCGAGGGTCCACCTTCCTGAGGTTCGGGGCAATTAGGGGTTCAGGGGTAGGGTTTATTAGTTTGTTTTTTGTTTTGTAAATTTTGGGGTTTAGGGTGTGGGCTTTGGGGGTTTCCTTTTTTTTGTGTGTGTGTGTGTGTGTGGTGTGGTGTGTGTGGTTGTGTGTACGTGGTGGTGTGTGTGTGGTGTGTGTGTGTGTGTGTGGGTGTGTGTGTGTGTGGTGTGTGTGTGTGTGTGTGTGTGTGTGTGGTGATGTGTGTGTGTGTGTGTGTGTGTGTGTGGGTGTGTGTGGGTGTGTGTGTGTGTGTGTGTGTGTGTGTGTGTGTGTGTGTGTGTGTGTGTGTGTGTGTGTGTGTGTGTGTGTGGGTGTGTGATGTGTGTGCGGCGTGTGACGTTCGTGTGCGTGTGTGCGTGTGTGAGTGTGTGAGTGTGTGCGTGTGTGCGTGTGTGCGTCGAGTGTGCGGTGTGGTGTGTGCGTGTGTGCGTGTGGCGTGTGTGTGCGTGTGGCTGTGTGTGAGTGTGTGAGTGTGTGGGGGCGTGTGCGCGTTTGGGAGCGTGTGTGCGTAGTGCGCGTGTGTGCGTGTGCGGCGCGCGCGCGCGCGTGTGTGTGTGTGTGTGTGTGTGTGTGTGTGTGTGTGTGTGTGTGTCTCGTGTGGCTGTGTGTGTGTCTCTGTTGTGGTGTTTTTTGGGGGGGTGTAGTGTTTCAGGGTTTTTAGGGTGGGTTTCATGGTTACGGACTATGAGTTGGGGAGGTGGGGGCGTGCGATTTATGGGGGTACGCTAGGCGGAGGGAGGGTTTGCAGCTTTAGTGATCTCACTCAGGGTTTGCTGTTTCGGGCTGATAAAAAATCCCTTCGCGTCGCACCCAAGATGCACTTAACGCGAGGGGTGTAGGGTTGGGAGTTTGGGTTTAGGGTTTGTAGGTTTAGGGTGGGCAAGCGGGCCATTCCCATTGACCCGCCGGCACCTCTCTCTCATGTCTTCCACGGGTCGATGTGCATGCGCATTGAGGTTTCTGCGCCCTTATTGAACTTCTAAACTATAAGGAACCCGTTTCCAGTCAAAACCAAACCAAAATAGCCAATAAGCAGGGGACTAGATGCTGTTAAGCCCTATTAAGTCCCACCCTAAGCCCTAAACCCCAAGCCCGCGAAACCCTAAGTCGGGGCCTTTACCTAAACACTCCTCCACAGCATGCTCGGAGGCGAAGACCTCCATCACCTTCAAGCAGCACCGTGGTTGAGGTTCTGGGTTTTCGGTTTATATAGGGTACCCAAACCCTGAAATCCTACACCATGAACCCGAAACCCCAAACCCTAAACCCTAAACCTAAAACCATGTTTTGTCCCAGAACCCCAATCTGAAACCTTCCTATTCTTTGTTTGAGGTTTCAAGCCTCATCAAGCGAAGAAGGGCACCGCTATGAATCAGTACTGCTGTTGCCATGTATCATTTCGATCAGAGCTATATGTCCTATACTACTTTTATGGCGATTCTTCTCGTTTGTTACATTTCTTTATCATCACGGTTTGTTGTTATTTTGGCTGTTAATGTTTCTACCTCCTGTTTCTGGGAAGCCCTTCAGCGTAGGTCGAGAGTGCTTAAGAGCCGTGGAGGCCCCTTAGACCTAAAGCCTCCAAAACGGTTTAGGGTGTAGGGGTCGAGGGGGGGTTTAGGGTTTAGGGTTTAGGGTTTAGGGCTTAGGGCTTAGGGTTTAGGATTGAAAGTAGCCTGGATACAGGAAAGCCCCTAATTAGAGCCCCCGCAGAACTGAAACCCAACGCCCCATGCGCCTTCGGGAGCGCTCTACGTGTTTTCGCATGTGCGGGTTTCATCGGGTTCAGGTTGGCCAGCGCTTCGGAGTTTTGGCGAGACAGCCACTCTAAAGCCCCTAGGCCCTACTGTAAGCCCTAAACGCTAAATCCTAAACCCTAAACCCTAGCCCTAAACCCTAACCCTACAACTCCCCCCCCCCCCCCGCGCCCCGAAACGCAAGGAACAAAGGAACCTCGGTGCAGTCGCGGCGCCTCAGCCGTCGAGCCACCACCGCCACCACCGGCGCGGTCGTTACGCCCCTGGCCCGGAATTTGTGGTTTGGGGTGCAGGGTTTGGGGTTTAGGGTTAGGGTTTAGGGTTTAGGGTTTGGGGTTTGGGGTTTAGGGTTTAGGGTTTAGGGTTTAGGGTTTAGGGGTTTAGGGTTTAGGGTTTGGGTTTGGGTTTGGGGGGTTGGGAGGGTTGCTAGAAGGGCCTAAGCCCCACATCCTAAGCCACCCTAAACCCTAAACCCCAAACCCTAACCCTAAACCCACTGAGGCTTGAGATCCAGAACGAAGGACCTGCGGCTGTGGCTCCCGTGGACGTCGCCCAGGAGTTGCAGAAGCAGGCTATCCAACAAGGGGCTTTTAGGGTTTTAGGGGTTTTAGGGTTTAGGGTTTTAGGGGTTTCAGGGTTTAGGGTTGAGGGTTTAGGGTAGGGATTTCCCCCCTGTGACGTGCTACAGTAACAGTTAATGGGGATTATAGTACCCCCGATTATCGTCCCTGTTAAGTACTTTTAGTACAAGGGGGAACATCCCAAGTTCACGGGTTTAGGGGCTTAGGGGTTTGCTGGCTGCGAAATGGAGGGACTTCTCAGAGAACGCCTGCTCCGAAAATGGCGGGCGGGGGCCTGGCAGGTCGGGGAATTGATCAGGAAAAACACAAATGGCTCGGATCGGAAAATTCCATTATTGTGGACCCGGTCAGCACACATTCTAAGTTCCTTTTAGCGCCCTAAACCCTATAAACACTGAAACCTGTTGTCTGAGCAGGGCCCCAAGGCTCGCCCTAAACCCTAACCCTAAAGTGGGTTTAGGGTTTAGGGTTTAGGGTTTAGGGTCCCTAAGCCCAACCTAAGCCTAGCGAGGTGAAGAGCAGCAGCGCCGGCGTCATGAAAGCCCTGACACGGCTCGGCAACGTGAACACCAAGGCCGCCAGTCGATGTTGCAGGGTTTCAGGGTTTAGGGGTTTTGGGTTTGGGGTTTAGGGCTAGGGCTTAGGGTTTGGGGTTTGGGGCTAGGGTTTAGGATGTTGGGTTTAGGGGTTTAGGGGTTTAGGGGTTTAGGGGTTTAGGGGTTTAGGGGTTTAGGGGTTTAGGGGTTTAGGGGTTTAGGGGTTTAGGGGTTTAGGGGTTTAGGGGTTTAGGGGTTTAGGGGTTTAGGGGTTTAGGTGTTTAGGGGTTTAGGGGTTTAGGGGTTTAGGGGTTTAGGGGTTTAGGGGTTTAGGGGTTTAGGGGTTTAGGGGTTTAGGGTTTAACGGTTTCAGGGTGTCGGGTTTCAGGGTTTAGGGTTACAGGATTTCAGGGTTTCAGGGTTTCAGGGTTTCATCGTTTCAGGGCTTACGGTTGGGATGTTCCCCCCTGAACTAACAGTCCTTAATCGGGATTATAGTACCCCCCCCCTACTATAATCCCTACTAAGGACTGTTAGTATACAGGGGAACATCCCAAGTTGAGGGGTTTAGGGTTTAGGGGTTTAGGGTTTAGGGGTTTAGGATCTTGGATTTCAGGGTTTGGGGGTTTAGGGGTTTCGGGTTTAGTGTTGAGGGTCTCAGGGATTAGGGTTTCAGGGTTTAGGGGTTTAGGGGTTTCAGGGTTTCAGGGTTTCAGCGTTTAGGGTTTAGGGTTTAGGGATTTAGGGTTTGGGTTTATGATTCCAGGGGTTTCGGTTTCATTCCGATTGTAGGAAACACACGACCGCCGCCGGTTTACCCAGTTTCTGATAGGCTGTTTTTCGAGCTCCATATGGGACTGAACACTTTTTGGTAGCAGGGTTTCTAAAGCCCGAAAAGCTAAACGGGGAACCAGCAAAGCTTAGGGAGCCTTAGGGAGTAGTGGGGAGTACCCAGGACCCCCCCCCCCCCCTTGGAGAACCCTACAATACAAAGAGTCTCTAAACGTCCCAAAAGCCCTCCAAATGTCCTCCAACAGCCCTAAAAGCCCCTAAAAGCCCCTAAAACCCCTAAGATCCCGAAAGCCCCAAACCCCAAACCCTAAACCCTAAACCCTAAACCCTCAACCCCACACCCTATAGCCCTAAACCCTAAACCCACCTGAAGCCCCTCAATCCAGC